TATTTCACACACAAAAACCCCCCACAAAATTAAAACAAAGCTAAAATTAAAATGAAAGCTGAAAATATAACAAATAAAATATTAATACATGCTATAATAGTACAGTAAATAAAATAATGTTGCACTGTGTCCTTTCACATGTGAATAATGTAAAGCAGTCCTGCCCATCGACAGCTGTGTGAACACAGGCCATCTGCAGTTTAAAAGAGTAACACAAAATCTGCAGCCGGTGACATGCCTTTTCTCCATTACACACTATAAACCGGCACACATCGCTCAGCCAAGCCCAAACTACAGTTATGAGGAATATCTCAATCAAAACTGCACAAAGAAAACATTGTGCCGTAACCTCAACCAAGACACTACCCCCCAGAAATTGGAATACGTTTAACAAGAAAACACTATTACCATCTTTACACTTCAAAATCTCATTTTATCCACCTAGCCAATTCTTTTTAAATATTTGTGACATTTACTAGCAATTTCCAACTGAAACTGGTTTCTACACCAATTCCCCCGCCAGTGTAGCCAGTACAGACTGACTTCTTAATAACAACGTTAGCGGCTCACAGCCAGGATGGCGGCAGCTGGTCACTAATAACAGGAGTCAATTTGTGACATTGCTGATTTAATCCTCACTGTAAGACCATGCTTAAAAGACCATCATTGTCCATCCTGACCTACTTCAGCAAAGCTGTCAAACTTTACATGCAGGTGACAGGAGAAATGCAAACTGGCTTGACCGTTTCATCTGTGTGTTACCCACATTTCACAAACACAAGATAATTAAATGGTCATGCCGGGATCTGAAAATCAAGACAGGGCTGAAAATCCACTGGGCATTTATATACATCCTTGAGAAAGAATAGGAAGTCAGATTTTATTGCTGAGGTCAAAGCACCAATCATCAGACGGCAGCCAACGAGCACTAGCACTCGGCATCAGTGAAGCAGAATCACATCACCACGCCTAGAGATAAATGATCCAGGGCCCAGGAAGAATATACAGCACACACCACACAGGGTTATAAAGGATTCCCGTGAGCAGCACGGCTTGAATATAAAGTATTACAGATGACTTGGGCCTGGGGATTCAGCTGTTGGTCTTTTCTGCCCCACTCCAGGCTTCAACCTGAGCGGAAGGGACTAACACAGTTTGTGAAGGGACATGTTGGTTTCCTCGTTTTCGCCGATTCATGATAAAAAGGTTTTAGGCCAACATTTCTGCACACATAAAATCTCTAAAGTTCTCGATTAACAAACTTCTATTCACTACTGATCAAAAAAGGAGGAATAATTACATTCATATAATTATTTTTATACTCTCTTGCAAAAACTTTTGCGTTCCCCCACGAAACTTTGCGTTCGCTCTCGAAACTTTGCGTTCGCTCTCGAAACTTTGCGTTCGCTCTCGAAACTTTGCGTTCGCTCTCGAAACCTTGCGTTCGCTCTCGAAACCTTGCGTTCGCTCTCGAAACCTTGCGTTCGCTCTCGAAACTTTGCGTTCGCTCTCGAAACCTTGCGTTCGCTCTCGAAACCTTGCGTTCGCTCTCGAAACCTTGCGTTCGCTCTCGAAACCTTGCGTTCGCTCTCGAAACCTTGCGTTCGCTCTCGAAACCTTGCGTTCGCTCTCGAAACCTTGCGTTCGCTCTCGAAACCTTGCGTTCGCTCTCGAAACCTTGCGTTCGCTCTCGAAACCTTGCGTTCGCTCTCGAAACCTTGCGTTCGCTCTCGAAACCTTGCGTTCGCTCTCGAAACCTTGCGTTCGCTCTCGAAACCTTGCGTTCGCTCTCGAAACCTTGCGTTCGCTCTCGAAACCTTGCGTTCGCTCTCGAAACCTTGCGTTCGCTCTCGAAACCTTGCGTTCGCTCTCGAAACCTTGCGTTCGCTCTCGAAACCTTGCGTTCGCTCTCGAAACCTTGCGTTCGCTCTCGAAACCTTGCGTTCGCTCTCGAAACCTTGCGTTCGCTCTCGAAACCTTGCGTTCGCTCTCGAAACCTTGCGTTCGCTCTCGAAACCTTGCGTTCGCTCTCGAAACCTTGCGTTCGCTCTCGAAACCTTGCGTTCGCTCTCGAAACTTTGCGTTCGCTCTCGAAACCTTGCGTTCGCTCTCGAAACCTTGCGTTCGCTCTCGAAACTTTGCGTTCGCTCTCGAAACCTTGCGTTCGCTCTCGAAACCTTGCGTTCGCTCTCGAAACCTTGCGTTCGCTCTCGAAACCTTGCGTTCGCTCTCGAAACCTTGCGTTCGCTCTCGAAACCTTGCGTTCGCTCTCGAAACCTTGCGTTCGCTCTCGAAACCTTGCGTTCGCTCTCGAAACCTTGCGTTCGCTCTCGAAACCTTGCGTTCGCTCTCGAAACCTTGCGTTCGCTCTCGAAACTTTGCGTTCGCTCTCGAAACCTTGCGTTCGCTCTCGAAACCTTGCGTTCGCTCTCGAAACCTTGCGTTCGCTCTCGAAACCTTGCGTTCGCTCTCGAAACCTTGCGTTCGCTCTCGAAACCTTGCGTTCGCTCTCGAAACCTTGCGTTCGCTCTCGAAACCTTGCGTTCGCTCTCGAAACCTTGCGTTCGCTCTCGAAACCTTGCGTTCGCTCTCGAAACCTTGCGTTCGCTCTCGAAACCTTGCGTTCGCTCTCGAAACCTTGCGTTCGCTCTCGAAACCTTGCGTTCGCTCTCGAAACCTTGCGTTCGCTCTCGAAACCTTGCGTTCGCTCTCGAAACCTTGCGTTCGCTCTCGAAACCTTGCGTTCGCTCTCGAAACCTTGCGTTCGCTCTCGAAACCTTGCGTTCGCTCTCGAAACCTTGCGTTCGCTCTCGAAACCTTGCGTTCGCTCTCGAAACCTTGCGTTCGCTCTCGAAACCTTGCGTTCGCTCTCGAAACCTTGCGTTCGCTCTCGAAACCTTGCGTTCGCTCTCGAAACCTTGCGTTCGCTCTCGAAACCTTGCGTTCGCTCTCGAAACCTTGCGTTCGCTCTCGAAACCTTGCGTTCGCTCTCGAAACCTTGCGTTCGCTCTCGAAACCTTGCGTTCGCTCTCGAAACCTTGCGTTCGCTCTCGAAACCTTGCGTTCGCTCTCGAAACCTTGCGTTCGCTCTCGAAACCTTGCGTTCGCTCTCGAAACCTTGCGTTCGCTCTCGAAACCTTGCGTTCGCTCTCGAAACCTTGCGTTCGCTCTCGAAACCTTGCGTTCGCTCTCGAAACCTTGCGTTCGCTCTCGAAACCTTGCGTTCGCTCTCGAAACCTTGCGTTCGCTCTCGAAACCTTGCGTTCGCTCTCGAAACTTTGCGTTCGCTCTCGAAACCTTGCGTTCGCTCTCGAAACCTTGCGTTCGCTCTCGAAACCTTGCGTTCGCTCTCGAAACCTTGCGTTCGCTCTCGAAACCTTGCGTTCGCTCTCGAAACCTTGCGTTCGCTCTCGAAACCTTGCGTTCGCTCTCGAAACCTTGCGTTCGCTCTCGAAACCTTGCGTTCGCTCTCGAAACCTTGCGTTCGCTCTCGAAACCTTGCGTTCGCTCTCGAAACTTTGCGTTCGCTCTCGAAACTTTGCGTTCGCTCTCGAAACTTTGCGTTCGCTCTCGAAACCTTGCGTTCGCTCTCGAAACCTTGCGTTCGCTCTCGAAACCTTGCGTTCGCTCTCGAAACCTTGCGTTCGCTCTCGAAACCTTGCGTTCGCTCTCGAAACCTTGCGTTCGCACTCGAAACTTTGCGTTCGCTCTCGAAACCTTGCGTTCGCTCTCGAAACCTTGCGTTCGCTCTCGAAACCTTGCGTTCGCTCTCGAAACCTTGCGTTCGCTCTCGAAACCTTGCGTTCGCTCTCGAAACCTTGCGTTCGCTCTCGAAACCTTGCGTTCGCTCTCGAAACCTTGCGTTCGCTCTCGAAACCTTGCGTTCGCTCTCGAAACTTTGCGTTCGCTCTCGAAACTTTGCGTTCGCTCTCGAAACTTTGCGTTCGCCCTCGAAACTTTGCGTTCGCCCTCGAAACTTTGCGCTCGCCCTCGAAACTTTGCGCTCGCCCTCGAAACTTTGCGCTCGCCCTCGAAACTTTGCGCTCGCCCTCGAAACTTTGCGCTCGCCCTCGAAACTTTGCGCTCGCCCTCGAAACTTTGCGCTCGCCCTCGAAACTTTGCGCTCGCCCTCGAAACTTTGCGCTCGCCCTCGAAAACTTTGCGCTCGCCCTCGAAACTTTGCGCTCGCCCTCGAAACTTTGCGCTCGCCCTCGAAACTTTGCGCTCGCCCTCGAAACTTTGCGCTCGCCCTCGAAACTTTGCGCTCGCCCTCGAAACTTTGCGCTCGCCCTCGAAACTTTGCGCTCGCCCTCGAAACTTTGCGCTCGCCCTCGAAACTTTGCGCTCGCCCTCGAAACTTTGCGCTCGCCCTCGAAACTTTGCGCTCGCCCTCGAAACTTTGCGCTCGCCCTCGAAACTTTGCGCTCGCCCTCGAAACTTTGCGCTCGCCCTCGAAACTTTGCGCTCGCCCTCGAAACTTTGCGCTCGCCCTCGAAACTTTGCGCTCGCCCTCGAAACTTTGCGCTCGCCCTCGAAACTTTGCGCTCGCCCTCGAAACTTTGCGTTCCCCCACGAAACTTTGCGCTCGCTCACAAAAAATGTTTGCGCTCCACATGAAACTTTGCATTCTCCCGCAAAAAGGTCAACGTTCCCCCACAAAACTTTGCGTTCGCTCACAAAAAAGTTTGCGCACACAAAAATGTTTGCGTTCCCCCATGAAAAGTTGCGTTCGCTCACAAAAACTGAAACTTTGCGTTCTCTCGCAAAAACCTTTGCGTTCCCCCATGAAACTCTTCTTGCAAATCTTTTGCATTGCCCTGAGAATTGTCTTCCAAATGGGCAGTGAAAAAAACAAAAACAAAGACCACAAAATCATTGGAATATTATTTCAACCCATGTCATATTCTTTTCCATCCCACAAAATTCCACAGATCTCGCCCCAAAATGAAAATGTCAAAACAAGCCAGGGGTGAGTATTTCATATAGTGTTAGCTTCTCACCTTTGAGGTCCTCAGAGAAGCAGGCGGAGTGTCTTGAAATAAACAGTTTGAGCTGTTCGTCGATGTTGCAGGCGGTCAGGTCGACGTCCCACGAGCGAATACCTGTGCAGAGACAAACCCAGACTTCAGTCAACACAAGCGAAAGCTCAATTATTCACCGTCCACATCAGCCTGTGGTCCATGGGCCAAGAGACAGTGACACACTTATTTATAAACCTCCTGGAGAGATTCTCTGTGTCTGCTGTGAAGAAAACGAGGTGGTCAGGTCAACCACAGACTTCACAGGTTTTGTGAAAACATGAGACCTAGCAGCCTTTCTCTTCGGATAAATAACTAAAGTTATAAAATGGTGTTTGAGAAATAACCCAAAGACAGAGCCACAGAGGATAATACAGAATTCAAAAGAAACTGAAAAAAAAAAAAAAAAAATCCTGAGCCAAAATAAGATGACCTCTTTCCAGCACGGACTCGTTTAAGAAGAACCCTACTACTGCAATGACTTCAGGTTTCTCATGTACTGCCAAATACCAGCTCGGGTTTAGTAAGAGACACCATTGTTGAGTTTCCAGCAGTGGTGGACCATGACTAGGGGTGGGCGATATACCCGGTGGACACTATTAACTGCTAGAAATGTCAACCGGTGGAGATTTTGGACTACGGTTACGCTCATGTGATGTTGATGTGCTGCGCGGTCACAAAAGATGATCGTTTGCATGGGTTTAAAACAAGTTATTTAAACTATTTAAGCACTGTAAGCTGTAAAAGACAACTCATTTTGCTTTATGCGCGCTGTCAGACTGTGCGACATGAAGCCAAGCTCATAGAGCAAGTGAAAACTGAGTGCTTTTTGCCACCTAATTGGTCTTGAGCGGTTAAATACACATATCTGTGTGTCAAAGTGACCGTGTCTTTTGCAAGTAAACGTTCATTTATGCCGTAAGTGTACGTAAACAGTTGAGAAAGTAAACGTGTAAGTATATTGGATCTGTGCAGACGGTCTTGTTGTTATTAATGCTAATCAAATAACAAAAAGAGAAAATCTCTCACTGCTCTTGAATCACTTTTGTAAGTTTAATAAGAATACATGTTATTTAATTTACACAGTGAAGACTATGCATGCAGTGTTTTTATACATTTGATTACTTTATGCAATTTATGTAGTATTTATTATTTCTAGAGCTTGAAGTTTTTTTGTTAGGGGACTCCATTTCATTTGTGTCTTTGTTCTATTGTAGTTTGTTTTCCTATATGCTTGCAATTCGTTTTTGTTCTTTCTTTGTCACGGTTTACTTGTCTTCAGTAAGCTTGAGAGTTTTTTAATACTTAGGCTAGAAGTTTTTTTTATGATATTGAAAATGGTTGCAACGCAAGAATTATAAAATCTCATTGGGATCAAATTTTGAAATCATAAAATCGTTTAATTTGTATCGTGATTTTAGATTTTGGTTACATATTGCCCATCACAATAAGCCGTTTCGAGCCTCTGATTAGCTATATAGCATGAAAAGACACAACATTGCTGTTATAATTTTATTTTATTCTGCAGCGTTACAACCACGACGTGAGCTCAGAAAATATTCACCCTCTTATAGAAAGTCTCTCGTTTGCGTTCAAAAGTCCAATTTACTTTAAAATCCCCCTGTGGTGAAAATCCAGCTTTTAATGTTGTTTAGGTGTCTATGTGGTGTTTTTAATATGCTTTAAGACAAACCATGTGTAAGTTCATAAGTCGAGTGTTTTCTGCTTAAAACTGCAGTGAACCAAAGACAGTCTCAAAAACACGGTGTGAAATCGCTGGTGTTTCTGACGTCACAAACGACCTTGTAACCAATCAGATCAACGTGTGATCGTCAACCAGTGGATCTCTGAGCTGAGTGAGTGAGTGGAGGCGGGGCTCATTTGCATATTCATAGAGCCACGCATACTAAATGAGGCAAGGGTGTCGAGTTACATTCAAGCTATTTTAAGGCATGCAAATTTATTTTAAGGAAAGAACGCTTAAATATATAATTTTGGTGATTAAAGATGATTTTTAAGGGATGCAATTATTGACTACAGGGGGACTTTAACAACTTTACAAAGCAGCTTGTCCAACACTGGTTGCTATAGCCTAGGTGTTGATATGCAGTGTTTGCGTTTGTTGAACAAACGGCCTCAAGCACACTTAATTTTGCGGACTGGTGTCTTTTAGAAGAATAAAGGCGGCAGCTGATCGTGTTTTAATGAAAGTGGTGCAGAAAAATTGGGCCTACTGACATAAGAGCCAAACTGAGGGGGAAAAGCAGAAAGGCGATTTAAACCAACTGAAGATTTTCAACCAGCTTCACCAGTTTCTCTGCGAAGGTGCTGACAGCATTAAACCAGAACACATCTCATTCCTGCCAGACTACGGTGGAGGAACCGTCTGACCAGGAAGAGAAGGAACCGCTGGCAACAGTCAGAAAGAGGAAGTGTGTGTATCAGTCACACGGCCCTTGAGTATAGTCACAGATAACGAGACTGAAAATCAAAAGAAAGCAGATGATAAAAGGAAATAACTCCACGATCATGTCTAACTAGCGTTTTCTCCCAGTCTGACCAATAAACAGTGTTAAAACCCCATTAAGAGCCGACAGCGGAGGGAGACCGGCAGACGGCTGTCCTTCAGCGCAGCAGACGCACCTCACACTTATTAAAGATGAACTTTCAGCTGCGCAAACCAGCACAATGAGGAAGGAGAGTCTGCAAACACAAGACTCGCTATATATAACCCTGCTGTCCGTCGACAAAAGAATAGCTTCGCCTTTTCAGGGCCTTTCAACTGCGAGAAAACAAGCCATCGACGCACATCTGCTGCGACACGAATGCGCTGGTCTTTGATTCAGATTTGAGGATTGCAGACAGGGAAGCCATGCTGAAGTAAATGAGCTGCATTATTTATGTTCTGCAGAGCTGCATGGGTCTTTTCATGTGCTTCGGGATCCAGAGGCCCCAAAAGAAAAAAAGAAAAACTGAAATACTGGGAAACCAATAGCATAATTCCTACCTCAGTTAGGCTATACAACAAAATATTTTGTTGCACAGAAAGGCAAGGCTCTGAATGGACATGAACCGAAGGCTTGAAATGACACAGCATACTGTTATTTAGTCTGTTGTCTCTCTGAAATTCACTCTCAGAAAAAAATGTGTGCAAAAATGGCACCTTTTATCGGCAGCTAAAACAGCTTTTTTTTTTTTAACACTGCGGCAATTTACTTAAAGGTTAATAGTTCACCCAAAAATTTTAATTAGCCCATGATTTACTCTCCCTCAAGTCATCCTAGGTGTATATGACTTTCTTCTTTCAGACGAATACAATCGGAGTTATAGGCCTATTAAAAAATGTCCTGGCTCTTCCAAGCTTTATAATGGCAGTGAATGGAGGATGAGATTTTGAAGCCCAAAAAAGTGCATCCATTCATGATAAAAGTGCATCTATCCATGATACAAGTGCATCTATCCATGATAAAAGTGCATCTATCCATGATAAAAGTGAGTCTATCCATGATAAAAGTGCATCTATCCATGATAAAAGTGCATCTATCCATGATAAAAGTGCATCTGTCCATGATAAAAGCGCATCTATCCATGATAAAAGTGCATCTATCCATGATAAAAGTGCATCTATCCATGATAAAAGTGCATCTATCCATGATAAAAGTGCATCCGTCCATGATAAAAGTGCATCTATCCATGATAAAAGTGCATCTATCCATCATAAAAGTGCATCTATCCATGATAAAAGTGCATCTATCCATGATAAAAGTGCATCTATCCATGATAAAAGTGCATCTGTCCATGATAAAAGTGCATCTATCCATGATAAAAGTGCATCTATCCATGATAAAAGTGCATCTATCCATGATAAAAGTGCATCTATCCATCATAAAAGTGCATCTATACATGATAAAAGTGCATCTATCCATCATGCACTTCTATCATGGACAGATGCACTTTTATAATGGATGGATGCACTTTTATGATGGATAGATGCACTTTTATCATGGATAGATGCACTTTTATCATGGATAGACGCACTTTTATCATGGATAGATGCACTTTTATCATGGACAGATGCACTTTTATCATGGATAGATGCGCTTTTATCATGGATAGATGCACTTTTATCATGAATGGATGCACTTTTATCATAAATGGATGGGCTTCAAAATCTCATCCTCCATTCACTGCCATTATAAAGCTTGGAAGAGCCAAGATATTTTTGTAACTCCGATTGTATTTGTCTGAAAGATGAATGTCATATACACCTAGGATGGCTTATGAAAGTGAAAATCAACGGGTAATTTTCATTTTTGGGTGAAGTAACCCTATAAAGGGATATCTTTGTACCTCATTTACCCCTGAACTGTGCTATTGTGCACCTTTTAGGGGTGCATTCAAATAACGTTCAAAAGTAACGTTACCAAAATGTTTGCAAAAGGATCAAATTAAATGTTCACTTAACTTTTGCATAACCAAGAAAAAAACGTTAAGACTTTTTTTTTTTTTTAAATGGACGTTTTGAGAACATTCGAAATAACATTTTTAGAACTTAATGGGAATGTTCGCAACACGTTCTAGAACACATCTTGTTCGCAGGACTAACGTTACTGGCATTGCTGAAAGCTGAGAGCCCAGTTCAACTGTAAATATGCGTATATGAGCCCTCAGTGGGCATTCATCTCTTTTAGTTCCTACTCAGCAGACAAAACGAAAGGAGGTCAAGGTCATATATGAACAAAAGGGAGTCTCTAGAGTTAGTATATGGTTACATCCATGCCATGTGACAGCTTTCAAGAGACTTTCAATGAAAATTCTCCAAACCTCCCCATTCATATCACCCAGCCTTTTACATTAGCAAGTCGTCAATACTGAGGTACATTTTAAAGTTATAATAGGATTAAACTGGCAACAGAAATTTGATGAAACTACAAAATTAGTTCTTCCTCGTTATATTCCAACATATTTGTACTAATAATAATATTTTTCCAGCAACAAGAGCTACAAAAAGACACTGACGTAATTTTCTGAAGACGCTGCAGTGATAAATTAGTTATATTTTTTTCAGCGATTTTTCTCTTCGTGACGTAGAGAGTGATGGGCGAGGGACGCGCGCGCTGGCTCTCATTCAGTCACCATCCCACAGTAAGACAAACGTTTACCTCTTTCAATCTCGGACACTAGTAAATCCACAAATCCAGCCGGACCGGGCTGTCCGACAATGACGAGCAAAGAGTATTTATCGCTGCAGAACCCGGGACGAGCGCTTCGGTTGGAGTTTTCCATGCTTGCCAACTCGCCGATGTGGTCCGCCGCCATGTTGCAAAGTTTATCAAATTCGCGATGTCCGATTCGCAAACGAATTGTTCATTTGAATCGGCTCTTTTTAGTGATTCAGCCGAATCGATTCTCTCCAGATCCATTACGGGGAACTTGCTGTTAGAGGAAAACAAGAGCTCCAAAACAACACTGAATTTGACACAAAGATGATTTCTATTTTCAAATATGTAGAAAGGTTGAATAACTGATAAGCCAAATCAGGGACTCAGTTAGAGAAAATTAATCTGGTACACATTTACATTGAATACAACCAATAACACACACTATATTTAATCGAAAAGATGCTGATAACAGCCAAATATTAATATAGGTGCAAAACAAACAAAGGCGAAATGCTGCGTGTTGACTTCAGGCAACAATTTAGACCCGAAAGAACCGGTTCATTGAAATGTTTCGTTCGAACGAACCGATCCCTTCTAATGAATTGGACTACCCAACGGTACTACAGCGATGCGCTCAGGGAAACACCCACAATTTACATGTGAGGGGCGGGGAATAGTGCATGACGTCATTTGTGTCCTATCAGCTGATAAAGAAATTGCAAATTGGCATTTTGGAACCATATTAACAGAAAACGTGTGCATTTGATGTGCTTTTTTTGCTTTTCAGAATGTCACCTTAAAAAAAAAAATTGTGAAGTTTCTGTATTTTCTTTATTAGGCAAATTCCATATGCATTAGAAGAAGTGGGCTCTTTTTAACCTACTTTTTTATTTTAGAAATTATTTTAAGTTATATCTTTTTAACAAACTAAAAACAAAAAAGCGCAGAAAATATGTCACTGGTGTGGCTTTTTTTTAAAGTCCATAAAATCAAAATGGACTCTACTTGTTTTTTTTTTAAGGTATTATTGCTGTATTTATTATAAATGATTTATCGGTGCACATCATTCTTATTTTAAATTCATGTTCCTGGTAATCTTGAATCAGAGTATCTTCCTCTTGCAGCATCTCTTCTCTTCTCTGATGACGAGGGCGGGGCTATAACCTGTCAATCACATGAGATCAGCCAATAGCAAACCACATCCATCCAATCAATTCCCTACAGACACAATCAAGCCCCGCCCACATCTGTTCTTGTTCATAAGCCATTTCACTCAGATATACGGCACAATAGGGAAGGAAATAGTATGTTCCGTTTCATGGCGACTTTAATGTAACTAATAACTCCTGTTCTTGTGGCATTGAATAAAAAAAGAGAGATTACAAATTAGCATTAAAAATTAGGTTAAAGGTAAAAAAACAGGAATATGGGACATTGTATTTAATTAGCGTGGCCAGTCGCTAAAATTGCGAATAATGACCTTTTTGTAGTTTGCTGCAGGGTGGCAAATATTTTTTTTTAAGTACAAATATTTTATGTAGACTCTCAATTAATATGAGGTACAAAGTGCATGCAATAATATATATTTATATTCACTGTCATATCAACCAGGGGGCTGTTCCATAAACCAAGATTAGAGTATAAGCCAGGCTTATTTCGGTTAGTCAGGCTTATTTTTGGTAGATTCGGTTTCATAAATCAAACTTAAAAAAGTTCAAACTCAGTTACCCTGGCAACTTATGCTGGGAAACTAGCCTGGTCCAGGGCAGGCTAACTCTCAGGCTAAGCCTCAGTTGTTACACAGATCCTCAACACTGACCGACAAGAACACAATGATATTACCACTGACAGTCTCTAATACCATTATTGGACTTTATAAATACACAGTATACAGAAAATCAACTTAAATAAGGCTACAATATAGACACATATATAAGGCGTTTTAAAGTTGTCCGTTTAGGACATGTCATTTTTGTAATAAAGACATTTTAATTAAGGAATGCCTCGGTTATCAGAGAATTCTTTTTTCTACACTGTCTCATATATATATATATATATATATATATATATATATATATATATATATATATATATATATTATGTACTTTATTATGTCTTTCAATTCAAACACATTTAACACAATTATACAAATGGACAGTTCCTTTAAAGACATTATTTTCCCCCAATAAATATTCCTTATTTTTCCTTCTACTTTTTTTTCTTTTGTGATAATACCAACACATACATATAAATAAAACAATAAATAAATATTAATAAAAATATAACATTCACATATATCAAACTCTTATAATGAATGACACATAATTCCTAATAGTTATTCAAGTAATATTATTTAAATATCAAATATTCAATATTAAATAAGTAGATAAATAAAATTACAAATAACTAGAAATAAAAGGGAAGGTTACATAAAAATGTAGTAAATGTAGGCCAATATATATTCCTTTATTTTATGGAATATTCTTTGATTTTAGAGTTGCACATATCTTTTCAAAATGTATACATTTGTTCTTAATTTAATGTTATCCTCTCCATAATGTACTTTAGAAACTAAATCTAACCACTCATTTAAAACTGGGGATTCTTGCTTTCTCAAAAAAAAATCATTGCATTAAAAGCTGCAATTCTCAGCATTCTAAATAAGTATAGGCCTATATCTTTATTAGCATAGGTCCTATACCCAAAACTATATTTTGTATCTTTATATATTTAGTTTCTTAAAAAAAATCTTCCCTGAATTAGGCTACTTCTGTTCAATTTTTTTTATTTAGGCCTATTAGAAGTATAAAATGAGTGTAATGAGCTAGAAGTTCACTGCAACTTATCCAACATCCTAAAGAGAAATTATTATAATTAGAAGATATTTCTAGTGTTCTAAAATATCGCATTTTAATTTTCCAAGCAAAATGTATATTTTTTAATCAGAATTATTGCGCTCCTATTTGGCGCGCATGCGCGCAGCAGCGCTCGTTCAATATGAAGATTAGCAGCAAAATGGATACATGTGCACGACTTTCTAACATTTACAGATGGAGAATATAACTGTAAAATGTAATTTTTGCACTGAGGGAAAAAAAAAAAACATGTCACAAATGCATAAAACAGCACAAAAACTACGCTGTTTGATGATGGATCGATTTGATCCACGATCGACCTCTAGGGCTGCTTCAGAAACGCGTGCACACGCAATTATCTAGACTAGATAAACCTGGATCAAATTAGTGAGATTGTGTGAACTTCAATTACCTTTTATGGAACCACTTTAGCCCCAACTTATTTGTTAGGCTCATTCAAGTCCGGTTTTGGAGTTTAATCCCCGCTTTTCTAAGCTTCATTTATGGAACAGCCCCCAGGTCTATCTTCAGCCTACTATTTATCAAAACTTATTTGAATAAACTAATCCATCAAGTTATAGTTAATGTCTTATTTACTATTAAGCTTTTATTAGTCTTTTTTTTTTGTGGGAGGAGTTTGCATCTGATAAAACACAAACTACTCATTTTATGTCCAAGTCCTCTTTGACCCTAAAACATTTCCCCAGGTCTTCTAACAAATTTACAATATATTCAAGCTCTGATATGACACCACCTCCTGATTCCTTTAGGTTTCATATTCCCTTTGCGCCACCTTGTGGCCGGCCATGACATTGCAAGCTCTTATACAAGTCAACTAGAATGTGAAACAGTAATACGACATTTGTTTTACATGCTGTCCGAGTAATCAGACTTTGAATAAAAATAGAGATTTATACAAAAATGCATGCATTTATTTTATGCGTCAGTTTGATAAAACATGTTACAACTGTGACTGGAAACATCCAACAGCATGTGCACAATAAGCGGCTGGTTATGACAGGATGAGAGATGTTTCACAAGCACTTGAGGATGGAGAAACTGCAGCTGGTTCCTCCTGGACAACTGCACAGCTTCCCGAAGCGAGAGCCCTTCCGCACCGCGCACTGCTCGCCTGCATCACACTGACACAACACGCGTTATTATTAGTCTGTGCTGAATACAGCTTGAATATAATCCAATACAATCTCTTTATTAAGCAATTTATTTTTAATATAATCACAGTATCTTCCTCTGTTTGTCCTTTCTCTAAACAAAATGTTTCAACCATCTTCTTATATTCACAATATTGCTTCCCGTTCTGTTAAAGGGATAGTTCACTAATTTTTTTTTTTTTTAAATTCAACATTTGATATTTGATTGATAATCAAACAGTTGCCATTGACAAAAAAAAATACTATGGAAGTCAATGGGTCTGGTTACTGACATACTTCAAAATATCTTCTTTTGTGTTCAGCAGAAAGAAACTCATTAAGGTTTGCGACTTCATGGTGAGTAAATGATGACAACTTTCATGTTTGGGTGAACTATCCCTTTAAGGGTCGGTCACACTACACCTTTCGTTCCCTTGACTTCCACACGGATGCTGGAGACATAAACAAGCTCAAGTTTTGCACTCCGGCGCGTTCCTAAGTTTAAAGGTGCGTATGACGTTCATGAAATGAATTAAAAGAGCACAATCTTTTCAGTAACGTGAAGTAGATTGTTGATGTTGATTTTATGTTTATATAAAAACAGACATGTGATGTCATCTCACAACCGTTGCGGTGTCTGTGAAGGAGATGTCCTGAAGTGTCTTGTGTTTGCAAATGCATAAATGACCTGTACTAAAGCCAGACACCGGGGGGGCGATCGAACTATTTTGGCTTCACTTTTCAGGACTTGTGCAGCACACTTGTGTCCCACCATAAATACACTAGATGTCGCCTTGGGGTTCTAAGCATGTGTCAAAACCGCCGCCATCTTGGAACGGGTCTTGTCATAGGAAGTAGCTCTAGGTAACGCTGCTATCTCCGCCTGTACTTCAAATTCATGGATTTGCGGACTTTTGTGCTGCGTATGGATGTTCACACGAACGAAATCTAAACTAGAAAAAAAAATGTTTGTTTTAATTTTCTCTGGACTCAATGATAAATACATGTCTGGCCATTGGAACGAACCAAAAAAAAACTAGAAAATCGCATTCATGACGATTTATGTTGATTTTATTTCCGTTAGACCTCTGCCTACATTGACGCTGATGCATTAAAGAGGAGGGGCTTCCCTGTTCCATGATGGCGGCTCTATTGACGCATTCGTTGATATGAACTGCCGTAGCCAAGGCGAAATCTAGTGTATATATCTATGGTGTCCGACTCGTGCCACAAATCCTGAAAAGTAAAGTAAACCAAAATATGTCTATCGCCCCCTGGTGTCTGGCTGCAGTACAGGTCTTAACCCCCGCCCTCTCCATCTAATCTAATGGGACGCCAGCGAAATTAAAACATCAAATTACACCTCAAATAAGTTTTTTTCCAAAGATGCCATTTTAGGTAGTTGTTATCACGCTAATGTAAGTCCAAGGGTTCGCTTTCATTCCTGTTAAACACCAAAGATGGCGCTGCTGGGAATAAGGTCTATGGATCGACTCTATAGAAATTTGGCGTCTAGAGTGAGCGAGCTCGCGGCTTTAGTCAATCCCTTCAAGCTTCTTAATGTTTAAACAACAGGATTGGAAATGGTTTTGATGAATTATTGATGTTTTGAGGTAACCTATTAGTTGGTTTGTTCCCCTTTAAAAGTTGAGAAAATTAAAGAAATCGGTATGATAACGTAAAAAAAAAATTCAAAAGATGTTAAAAAACCCCAAAAGTAACTCCTGTAAACTGCAAATTCCTCACTGAACAAAACCTTTAGCTCTTTATTTCCACCCTGTTTATTTCCATGTCATTGTGTAAATAATCAAGTTATAATAAATCAAGTTTTAAAGTGCCTGACCCAATTACACATTGTTATTGCTTATGTAATTAATTATATGTATGTGTAAAAAAGACTTACCGACGGAACCCACCCGAACTTCTTCTCCACAGTGGGAATCTGTTTGTTCCTCAGTTTCTCAAGAACTTCCTGAAGAGCCTCAATCTGTAAAATGTTTGTTTTTCACCCTTTATAGTTGAACTGTTAAAGCTATAATGAATGATTCCCTGACTGGGAAAAGATGTCTCACCAGTTCTTTCTCCTCTTGGGCCTTCATGTTATCTCCTGGCGAGCGGATCTCTAGAAAGTCATCGCAGCGCGCTAGCAACATCAAGACGGAGCAGGTCACGGTTAGCAGGAACACCCGTTCTCGGACCATTGTGTCGAGGAGCAGGATTGATTTGAGAGCGATTGTCTATTGTGAGCGACTCTTCTCATGTGACAGGAGGACCATCTGAAGCGTTTATAAGCTCTCTGCGCAGTCACACGCACCGCATCGACACGAGACGCAGTGTTTGACACGGGTCGCGCCCCGAGAGGCCGAAGAACGTCAGCGAGATGATTCATACCTCCGACCCATGAACCGCAAACATCAAACCACTCATGTACACCTAACCTCATCTTTGACTACAATTACCAGCCGTTTTTATTTCCGGAGACCATCATTTCATCACCGGAACATCCATGACAAGACATAGCCATTTTAGGGAATTGCAAACATCTCAGCGTTGATGAAGAACTGAACAATTAGATCAGCGCAAAGGCGTAACTTCTTGCCGAAGCTGATGTCGTCTCCACCACAGGAGGGTTTAGCAACACAGAAAAAGCATTTAAAGTAGATTTTTAAAGACAAAATTACGCCAATGGTTCACCATGACTGTAATACACAGAAGATCGACTCTGATTAGGTCCAAACCGGTTTGAAACTCTTCCTTCTAAGGAACACAAAAAGAGAAATTTGAAACAATGTTCATGCTGCTCTTTTCCATAGTATGAAATAAGGATCATATAAGCAGACTGATGAATGCACTCGGGTCTTCTGAAGTCACACACACTACAGATGTGAGTTCAGCACAGTCAGATACGTGCTATACGTGAGAGAAACACTGGCACTGATGTCAACCCTGCCGTGTCAAATGTGGGTCTGTTTCTAACCAACTTTAATTGTGCTAACTGCTTTGAGCAGTTATGAGCTTACACATGAGCTTAAAAGAAATTGAAACACCAAACACCAAACCAAGATTCGAGATGCATCTATTTATGCCATATCCTAATATGCACATACAAATACTGTAGGTGGATGGAAACACAGCTAATAAGCTTTAGCTCTTTATGTCCCTCTTGTGCGTTTTCTTGTCATTGTGTAAATACAAGTTATAATTAATAAAGTTTTATAGTGCCTGCGCATACAAGCATAAAGTAGTTTGACCCCTGGAGGAAGTATTTTATCTCACAATTTGGAGAAAAGAGTCAGTATTACAAGATATAAACACGCAATTGTGATAAAAATGTCAGAACTACGAGTTCTGACATTTTTAATTATAATTATAACATAACATTGAATATAACATTTCATTATTTTAATTATAATTCACTATTCTGACTTTTTCAAAAATGTGAGATAAAGTCGCTGTTACTAGTTGCAGGTTTTTTTTCATACAAATCTTCTAAAAAAAAAAAAAATCAATTTTATTACGTTGTAAAAAAAAATCCCAAATATCAAATAGCATATTTGTATATTCCTCTTTATTGTGAAATATGAGACGACTGTGAATTATTGTAATCCACAAATAAATGAATGACAAAACTCCATAAAACACATTATAAGAATGTTAGTTGCATTTTCTTTCATCCTTCCCTTCTTATTTTTTATTTTAGATAATCATTTAACCACAGAGCGCATAAAGACAAGCAAACACGGGCTGCTCATCACATCAAGTCCTGATCGCTGAGAGCGGTGTCTGCTGTGGCCGGCTCTGTGGCGTTCGGGGCAGCGATGCTGTCAGTGACGGGCTTGAACTCTTTCCAGGGTTGGGATGGACAGTGCAGCGGTGGGCGTTGGGTTGCACTAATGCGCTCCTTGGATTCCTCTGAGGACTCTTTGGGTTTGGCCGATGGTTTCGTCAGCATGGGCATGGCCCTAAGAGGAGACCAGCCCGGTGGCCGTTTGAATCTTGAGAACCCCTGAAAGCAAGATGTTGGGCATAAACGGGTTCATTGAAAATGATCTGTATAATTGAATATAAATAATTTATGTGTAAATGTATTGATGGGTGGCTCACCCCCATGACACCTGGCTGACATTCCACATGCACTTCTGGGACCTCGTGTCTCCAAGGAGCCACATCCACAGTGGAGTTACACTGCAGGACCTCCTGAACAACAACTGGACGTGTGAGGCTACAAGTGCACATTACAAGTATACACTCTCTTTGAATTTGTTTCTATACATAACTATGGAAGCTTGTTTCCTCAACAAAAAAAATAAAGTAATATACAAAAGGTAAATGTGAGTTTTTATCTTACAATTCTGAAAAAAAAAAGAGTTAGAATGTGACTTCTTTTCTCGCAATTGTGAGTTGACATCTCACAGATCGGATAAATTTTTTTTTTCGAATTTGAGATATAAACCATAGCGAGGTAAAAGTCAGAATTTCGAGGCATAAACTTGCAATTGCGAGAAAAGCGTCAGAATTTTGAGATATAAACTCACAATTGCGAGAAAAGCGTCAGAATTTTGAGATATAAACTCGCCATCATGAGAAAAATCTGAATTGTGAGATATAAACTCACAATTGCGAGAAAAGCGTCAGAATTGCAAGATATAAACTAGCAATTGTAAGAAAAGCATCAGAATTGTGAAATATAAACTCGCAATTGTAAGAAAAGCATCAGAATTGTGAAATATAAACTCGCAATTGTAAGAAAAGCATCAGAATTGTGAAATATAAACTCGCAATTGAGAGAAAAGCGTCAGAATTGCAAAATATAAACTCGCAATTGCGAGAAAAGCATCAGAATTGCAAGATATAAACTCGCAATTGCAAGAAAATTGTCAGAATTGCTAAATATAAACTAGCAATTGTAAGAAAAGCATCAGAATTGTGAAATATAAACTCGCAATTGAGAGAAAAAGTCAGAATTGCGAGATATAAACTAGCAATTGCGAGAAAATCAGAACTGCGAGATATAAACTTACAATTGCGAAAAAAGTGTCAGAATTGCGCGATAGAAACTCGCAATTGTGAGGAAAAGTCAGAATTGCGAGATAGAAACTAGCAGTTTAGAGAAAAGCATCAGAAAGTCAGAATTGCAAGATATAAACTCACAATTGCGACAAAGTCAGAACTGCGAGATATAAACTCACAATTGCGAGAAAAGTGTCAGAATTGCGCGATAGAAACTCACAATTGCGAGAAAAAGTCAGAATTGCAAGATATAAACTCGCAATTGCAAGAAAACTGTCAGAATTGTGAAATATAAACTTGCAATTGCGAGAAAAAGTCAGAATTACGAGATATAAACTAGCAATTGCGATAAAGTCAGACCTGTGAGATATAAACTCACAATTGCGAGAAAAGTGTCAGAATTGCGCGATATAAACTCGCAATTGCGAGAAAAAGTCAGAATTGCGAGATATAAACTAGCAATTGCGAGAAAGTCAGAACTGCGAGATATAAACTCACAATTGCGAGGAAAAGTCAGAATTGCGAGATAGAAACTAGCAGTTTAGAGAAAAGCATCAAAAAAGTCAGAATTGCGAGATATAAACTCGCAATTGCGAGGAAAAAGTCAGAATTGCAAGATATAAACTAGCAATTGTAAGAAAAGTATCAGAATTGTGAAATATAAACTCGCAATTCCGAGAAAAGCATCAGAATTGCGAGAAATAAACTCGCTATTGCGAGAAAAGCGTCAGAATTGTGAGATATAAACTCACAATTGCGAGAAAAAGTCAGAATTGTGAGATAGAAACTAGCAGTTTAGAGAAAAGCATCAGAAAGTCAGAATTGCAAGATATAAACTCGCAATTGCAAGAAAACTGTCAGAATTGCGAGATATAAACTAGCAATTGTAAGAAAAGCATCAGAATTGTGAAATATAAACTCGCAATTCCGAGAAAAAGTCAGAATTGTGAGATATAAACTAGCAATTGTAAGAAAAGCATCAGAATTGTGAAATATAAACTCGCAATTGCGAGAAAAGCGTCAGAATTGCGAGATATAAACTCACAATTGCGAGAAAAAGTCAGAATTGCGTGATATAAACTAGCAATTGTAAGAAAAGCATCAGAATCGTGAAATATAAACTCACAATTGCGAGGAAAGCGTCAGAATTGTGAGATATAAACTAGCAATTGTAAGAAAAGCATCAGAATTGTGAAATATAAACTCGCAATTCCGAGAAAAAGTCAGAATTGTGAGATAGAAACTAGCAGTTTAGAGAAAAGCATCAGAAAGTCAGAATTGCAAGATATAAACTCGCAATTGCAAGAAAACTGTCAGAATTGCGAGATATAAACTAGCAATTGTAAGAAAAGCATCAGAATTGTGAAATATAAACTCGCAATTCCGAGAAAAAGTCAGAATTGTGAGATATAAACTAGCAATTATAAGAAAAGCATCAGAATTGTGAAATATAAACTCGCAATTGCGAGAAAAGCGTCAGAATTGCGAGATATAAACTCACAATTGCGAGAAAAAGTCAGAATTGCGTGATATAAACTAGCAATTGTAAGAAAAGCATCAGAATTGTGAAATATAAACTCGCAATTCCGAGAAAAAGTCAGAATTGTGAGATATAAACTAGCAATTGTAAGAAAAGCATCAGAATTGTGAAATATAAACTCGCAATTCCGAGAAAAGCATCAGAATTGCGAGAAATAAACTCGCTATTGCGAGAAAAGCGTCAGAATTGTGAGATATAAACTCACAATTGCGAGAAAAAGTCAGAATTGTGAGATAGAAACTAGCAGTTTAGAGAAAAGCATCAGAAAGTCAGAATTGCAAGATATAAACTAGCAATTGCAAGAAAACTGTCAGAATTGCGAGATATAAACTAGCAATTGTAAGAAAAGCATCAGAATTGTGAAATATAAACTCGCAATTCCGAGAAAAAGTCAGAATTGTGAGATATAAACTAGCAATTGTAAGAAAAGCATCAGAATTGTGAAATATAAACTCGCAATTGCGAGAAAAGCGTCAGAATTGCGAGATATAAACTCACAATTGCGAGAAAAAGTCAGAATTGCGTGATATAAACTAGCAATTGTAAGAAAAGCATCAGAATCGTGAAATATAAACTCACAATTGCGAGGAAAGCTTCAGAATTGTGAGATATAAACTAGCAATTGAATTGAGAGAAAAGTGCCAGAATTGTGAAATATAAACTTGCAATTGCGAGAAAAGCTTCAAAATTACGAGATAAAAACTCACAATTGCGAGAAAATCAGAACTGCGAAATATAAACTCACAATTGTGAGAAAAGTGTAAAAAATTGCACGATATAAACTCACAATTGCG